CACAAGGTTCTTACCCCAAGACTTCCGCTACCAAAACTCTCTAAAGCAATCCTATCCTATCCAAGATCCTTACTCTAACAGTCTGCAAGATGGCGCACACAAGATAAATACGCAGTCAGAATATTAAACATACTGCCGCACGTAATGAAAAAAAAACCCAATGCATAAAATGAAACAAGTGGTATTGCATGCCCCCAGATAAAGGCCCCTATGAGTAGCGTAAGCAGTGTTTGATTGAATGAAATGGCAAAATTGGTCATACGTGTTGCAATCCTAAAGAGGACTTAGCCAGAAATTGGCTCAGGGTTGTTCGGAGGTAGTTGTTGCAGCGGAAGTGTTTGACCTCAGGTCAGAGTGAATGTAAATGACTGAGATAATAAAACATGCATACATCGAGTTTACATAGAAAAACAGAGGAATACGAAAAGTCCTAGCTAGCCATGAACTCTAAGGGGTACATTCCCTTATTACAGCGATTTCAAACCGTGCGACGCGGGAACCCGTTTCAAACCTATTCCAGCTCTTTTCACTTCAAATGTTTTTGCCTGCATCGATCTCGATCCGACGGTTGTTTAGTGTCGCTGCGACTCTTCTGACTCTTCAACTTCATACTCGGTAGAGTCGGCTCCTGCAGAGTACAGGAATGCCTACTCAATAAGTTTCATATCGCAACACCCCCCTTCATTCCTGCATGTGTCGGGGGCTGACTCGCTTGACTACTCCGGTCAGGTTGGAGCAGTGCTGGTACTGCTGACGTGGCAGTCTCTTGGTGAGGAAGTCGGCTGCCATCTCAGTAGTGGGGCAGTACGCGAGGTCAACTTTGCCCTGGTCAATTTCGTCTTTGGCGTAAAAGTACCGAAGCGCAATGTGCTTCGTGCGGTTGACGAACCCGGTTTTGTTCGTGATCCTGATGGCACTCTTGTTGTCGCAGTGGAGACAAAAAGTGGGCGAAGTTGGGATTTTGCCTCCTGCAGTAGTTCTTGCATATTAAGTCCTTCGCGAACTGCAGCTGTCGCGGCGATGTACACTGCTTCGGCTGATGACAAGGCAACCAGCTCTTGCTTCTGCGAGTTCCAGGAGATTGGGCCCGTTGGCTCCAGGCGGAAGAAAAAGCTAGTTCGTGACCGTCAATTGGCAGGGTCAGCGGCGTAATCTGCGTCCACGTAGCCGGTGAGGTTGAAGGATGTTGTTCTCAGCGTGGAGTAGGAGAGCCCGATGTCAGGCGTATATATGAAGTACTGTAGGGCACGCTCCAGGTCTAGCTGGTTCTCAGCTACTGGCTTGCGTGAGTACTGTGCCAGTTGGCTGGCGATGTACAAAAGGTCGGGTCGGGAGGTGACGGAGGCGAACAGCAGGCACCCCAGTTGCTGTTGATAAAGTTGGAGTCCTGCGGGCGACAGAGGTTTGTTGTTCGGTTTGTAGTTGGCGCTGGGGGTGCGATAGGGGGTTGAGAGTGGTGCGAGTGAAATTTTGAAGCGCTCCCCCAGCTGTTCTGCATACTTGGAGGCTGACAGATGAATCCTTTGCGAACTGCTGCACTTGCTGCGATGAATTCTGCTTCTGCAGACGAAAGGGCGATGAGCTCTTGCTTTTGTTAGTTCCAGGAGATGGTTCCTGCAGGCTCAAGCTTGAAAATGAAGCCTGTGCGGGACCTTCTGTTATCTGCGTCCCCAGCGTGATCAGCATCCACGAAACCAGTGAGCTGTAGAATAGCCGTTAAATTTGACTTGTAGGTAAGGACGACGTCAGGCGAGGAGATGAAATATTGTAGGGCGCGTCGTAGGTCCGCCCTATTCTCCCCTTCAGGTCGGCGCAGGTACTGGGCGAGCTGGCTAGCGGCGTACGAGAGGTCCGGGCGGCATGTGACGACGGCGAATAGCAGACACCCAAGTTGCTGCTGGTAAAGTCGATGGTCAGCCGGAGATAGTGGGGTGGTGTCGGGCTCGTGATTAGGCGGAGGAATGCGAAATGGGGTGGTGATGCCGACGGGAGCGATGCCGAACTTCTTAGCGAGGGTCTCGGCGTATTTCGCGGCGGAGAGGTGGATCGTGTCGGTGGTCTGAGTGACGTTTAGGCCGAGGAATTGGGTGACGTCGTGATCGATGGTCACCTCGAGCTTTTCTTTGATGTCGTGTTCGAAGCGATCGAGCAGCTCCGCGTTGTCCGCGGTGTAGAGCAAGTCCTCGACGTAGGCGACGAGCAGGATGAAGCTACCGCGGGACTCAAGGCGGTACATCCCCTGATCGTGGGGAAGCTGCTGGAAGCCGAGTTCGATAAGTACCGTGTGGAGGTACTGCTGCCACAAGCGCGGTGCCTGTTTGATCCCGTAGAGGGATTTCTGGAGAAGGCATATTGCATCCCCGTTTTCTTCGAAGGCGTGCGGCTGCTCGATGTGAATGATTGCGTCGACGATCGCCTAGAGGAACGCGTTCGACACGTCGATCTTGCGCAGGGGACGCTGCTTCACGGCTGCGACGCAAAGGAGGATGCGTACGGAGGTGTGACGTCCGACAGGTGCGAATGTCTTGTCGTAGTCCACGAATTGGGTCCGTTCGAAGCCGCGGACGACCCATCGTGCCTTGTATTTGTCAACAGCGCCGTCTGCAGGCGTTTTAATCCAGAAAACCCATTTCTCTGTGAGAATGTTTCTCCCCTTTGCGTGTCGTCATGGAACCAGCTTCCAGGTGCCGCGCCTTTGGAGTGCAGCAACTTCTGTGGCCATGGCTGCTCTCCACTTCTCAGCACCGGGTCCGTTGAGGGCCTGGCAAACGGTGGTGGGCTCGACCAGCTGCTGGTTACCCCGAATGGCGACGGCGAGACCGAGAATGCGAAGGCAGGTGAGGCTGGATTCGGCTGCGTTGGTAACTTCAACCACGTCGTCGTCGTCGCCAGGGATGTCGCGAACGGTGTCGCGGGAAGAGTCGCGAGCTGGTTCTTCCTCCATGGGTGAGTGCATTTCTGCGATTGCGTAGTCATGCTGTGCCTGTACTGCTTCGCGTGGATCAGTGTCTGTTGGGAAAAAGGTTGCTGTTCCGAACTCCTCCGTAGCGGGTACAAATGGTGCCTCGTCTCCAGCTGTCTCGTCTGGCTGTTCTCCTGCCATGTCAACGTCATTTTCGTCGTTGGCGTAGCTGTGCTGTCCCTGAAAAATGTTGTCCGGTGCGTTCTGTGCAGTGCGGTGCTGTCGGTACAGTGGCAGGGTCAGTCTTTCATAGAAGATGCAGTCACGTGATTGCGTGAGCTAGTGGGTGGCGAAGTCCAGAATTGTCCAGGCGTGGTATTCGGATTCGATTCCGAGGTGGATGCCCCAACGGGAACTCTCCTCCAACCCCTTTTGTCGTGAGAACCAAGAAGTCGCTATAGACCTTGTCGAGTGGTTTGTACCGCTCGGCTCCAGGTATTTTCTCGGAGAAGGGCGTGTGACGCAGCGCCGCTGTCGGGCAGACGGTGCAGTTGGGTAAGTCAGTCCTTGGTTTCAGCTGCTTTCCATCCGGCAGCAACAGTGCGTCTGCCGCAAAGACCTTTGTGTTGATGCAGTTGTTGAGCAACAAAATGCTCTGCGCTGGGATTCGAACTCGTGACCTTCAAATATGTCCTGAAAGTGTCTCAAGACATATTCAGGACAGTTTATGCTAAGGCGCTGGTTATGGTGCACACGAGTTTCGAACTGGAGACCTTTCGATTCAAGTGTCCCGAAAGTGTCTTGTCAGGACAGATTGGGGACAGTTTGGGGACAGATTGGGGACAGTTTGGCAAAATCGATCTCGGGTCGCGTTCGGTTTGAATTTCGGCAGCGAAGTGTCGAAGTCAACGGAATTCGCGCGGGAGTTACAGTTGGTCGTCGACGGAATTCTGGTCGCGGAAAGTCTCGTCTACGGAATTCCAGTCAATGGAATTCGCTTGGCGAAATTCAAGGCTCCGAATTTCACGTCGACGAAATTCAACGTGCGACCCGGGTCGACACTTTCTTGTGTGCTTTTATTTTGTATGCGTCCTAGTATAAAACCAGAGAGCACAAACCAGAAATCAACTAAGTCATTATCAGTGCTATGTTTGTGTGTATCTCTGGCTATAGTGGACCGTTTCCTGCAATCTTTGGTGCGTTGGAATCGTGCTTTCAAGCTCTATCAAGCTTCTATAGTAGTGGAATTCTACATGGTATCAGAGCTGCGTTATCTGCGTCGATCCAACTAGCGGCTTGATTCCGTCCTCCCATCATTACGTTCCCACGTTGGTGTGGCCGACGCTCGTTTTGACCGCGGATGGAGTGGCTAACGAGCGCCGAGGGCCTGAATGCCCGTCAGGAGCTGGAGGCGTCCATTCGTGAGCACCACCCTAACTTGCGTGATGAGAAGGTCGACCTCATTGTGGACGGTCGTCTACTACTCATGGTTCGGGAGCGCGCGGCGGAGCAAGCACCTGCGAGCGGCCAACAAGGAGGAACCGGTGAAGGAGGAGCTGTGCACGAGGCTCCAACTGCCGTGGACGTTGGTGGAGGAGCTGTTGCACCGACCATTGACACGGGAATGATCGGGGCGAGCTACGGCCAATTCAAGTTTGGAGTTGAGCACATCTCCGTGACGCCGCTGCTGGAGGGAAGGCACGACCTTACCGCGTGGGTCAGCGCCATCCGACCTCAGCTCCAGTGTGCTGATTTGTGGCAGTTTTGCAGCGGAACAGCACCAAGCCCGGCCCCGAACAACCCTTTGCAACGAAGGGAGTACGCAAAGGGCCAAATGCTTGCATTCATGGTGCTGAACCGCTGTGTTTCTCCACCCATCCGAATGTCTATCTCGGGTTTCTCTCAGCAAGAGAAAGCCGGGCAGCTAGCATGGGCATATATCTTGTCTACTTATCAAGCTCGTGATGCCCTCCACGCTTCCCTACTTCAGACCCAGTTAGCCCAACTCAGGAAGGGAGATGACGAGACGGCGGAATCCTACTGCAATAGGGCCCGCACCATCCGAGCGGAGCTGCTGACCATTGGACAGGAGGTCCACATGGCCACGTTTGCCGCTCACGTGCTGAAGGGCCTGCCACCGGAGTACAGATTTCTTCGCCGCAAGCTCGACATTTCCAGCCCTCACATGACAGTCGAACGTCTGTGCAGCGAGGTGTTGATGGAGGAGCAGACCCTCTCCATCGAACATAGCTACAAGCAGATGACCAGCGATGCATCTGCTTTCTCGGGCGCTGTCAACACGATCGTGGCTACACCGGGGGTCAACGGGAAGGAAGGGAAAGGAGGAAGGGAGAAGATGGACAAGAAGAAGGGTGGCAAGTGGGAGAAGAAGCGAGCCCCCTTCAAGGGGCACTGTTACAACTGCAACGAGGAGGGGCACATGGCTGCCAAGTGCCCCAACAAGAAGAAGGATGCAACGCCCGCGGCAGCCGCGAACGTTGCTGAAGGAGACGGGAAGGGCGTGGCGCTCACTGTCGCGTGTTCGGCTGCAAAGTTGCTGGCCGACGACAAGGACTTGTGGTTCCTTGACTTGGGATGCTCCCAACACATGACCATCCGCAAGGAGTGGTTCATGGTGATCCGTGACCCATCTGCAACGAAGTCCGTCAAAGGGTTTGATGGTTCTATGCAGGAAGTCGCCGGTGTTGGTGAGGTTTTGCTGGAGGGCACTAACGGCTTGCGTGTGACCCTGCATAATGTCCTCTTTGTGCCATGAATGAAGGCCAACTTGGTCTCCCCTGGACAGCTCACGGACAAAGGAGCAAATCTGCAAACCGAAGAAGGTGTCACCCGCATCATCGCATCGGGAGGACAAGTGGCTGCAACAGCACGCTACCGCCATCGTCTTCTCTGCCTTGACCTGAAACCGTGGCCAGCAAGCAACGGCACAACGGCTGTAGCGGCATGCAACGGCACGGTGGCTGCATCAGCTTGCAACGGCACGACGGTTGGAGCGGCATGCAGCGACACGGTGGCTGCAGCGGCTTGCACGGGTACGACGGCTGGAGCGGCATGCAACGGCACGGTGGCTGCAGCGGCATGCAACGGCATGGCGGCTGGAGCGGCATGCAACAGCACGGTGGCTGCAGTGCCATGCAATGGCATCACTAATGCGGTTGCTAACGGAGCGGCCAGCCTCAAGACGTACGCAGTGGGCTCCAAGGCAACGCCCAACCTGTAGCACGCTCGCCTTGGACACGTCCACTTCGATGCGGTGAAGCGGACAGCCACGAGCGGTGGTGTGTTAGGCATGGACCTGGAGAAAGGAGGTGAGGATATGCCTTGCACCTCTTGCCATGAAGCCAAACTCACTCGCGAATCATTTCTGCTGCACGACGAGCGCGAGAAGCAGGTTCTTGGGTTGGTCCATACTGACGTGTGCGGTCCATTTCAGACCCCAGCCATGGATGGAAGCAGGTACTACATTCTGTTCGTGGACCATGCCTCACGTTACACATGGGGGAAGACGTTGAAGCTGAAGATCGACGCGATTGTTGCCTTCAAGGAATGGCTTCCCGAAGCTGAACGCCAAACCGGGATGACGCTGAAGGTGTTGCGGTCGGACCGGGGAGGGGAGTTTATGTCGAATGAGTTTCTGTTGCTGCTGAAGCAACGAGGAATCTTGCGTCAACTTTCCTGCCCCTCGAACCCCCAGCAGAACGGTGTGGCTGAACGCCGCAACCGTACGGTAACCGAGGGCATGCGTGTGATGTTGGGGCACATGGGGGTGAAAGCACACTGGTGGCACTTTGCTTTCCAGCAGTTCTTGTGGGTGGTAAACCGTGTGCACCAGTCCACCCTGCCCCATGGTGTGACCCCTCATTTGGTGGTGTTCAAAGTCAAGCCCGATGTGTCCATGGTCCGTGTGTTTGGGTGCATGGTGCAATACCTCATTCCTGAGCATGAGCGTGAGGGGAAGCTTGCAAGCAAGACTCGTTGGGGTATGCACTTGGGCATGAGCATGGAAAGCAAGGGATGGCGTGTGGTGGATGTTGAGTCAAAGCGCATGGTCATCACCCGGGATGCACGTTTTTATGAGGACATGTCACTTGAACGGTGGCAGAAGTGGCGTGCACGCGTGGATGACGGGAATGACCAGCCCACACCACCCTTTGCTTCAGTCCCATCTCTCTTTCCTGAGCCCCACGACCCCGAGCAGAATCCGCCGCCACCACGTACCGTCATCGTGGTCCCGGTACCGTCCGTGCAAGGGGGCAAGAAACCCCTTGATCGCTCGGTGGGCCCTTTGGGCAGCAAGGCACCTATTGCACTTCCTCCTCTCGGTCCACCCTCCGTTGCTGACTCGGCGCCCGTGGGACTAGAGGATGGTCCTCTGGAGGTTGGCACCAGCATGACTGATCACGAGGAAGCAGAAGAAGAAGTAGCAGTGGATGAGCAGTCACCAATGGCCCATGAGCATGAGCCTTCACCTGCAGTTCCACCCATCCAGCCCATTCCACCACCCCCACGTCTCTCCAGCAGGCCTAACAAGGGGGTGCCACCCGTACGGTTTCAGCCATCAGCCATGACGGCCCAGGATGCGGACGATGAGGACAACCCGTACGACGTGGCGTACCTTGCTGAGGACGATTGCGACACGGACAGCGATGACGAAGTGGAGTACCCGGACGAGGATGAGGAGGAGGAAGGCGCTTGGGGAGGTGTCATCCTCGACCTAGCAGCTGCGTTGACCGGACCTGAAGGCAAGAAATGGTGGGCTGCTATGAAGGAGGAGTTGGAGAGCCTTGATGAGCAAGGCACTTGGGCGTTGGCTGACCTACCGAAAGGTCGCAAAACTGTCGGCGTCAAGTGGCTGCTGAAGAAGAAGCTGCGACCTGACGATACCGTGGAGAAGTACAAGGCCAGACTCGTGGCAAAGGGATTCAGCCAGCGCTTCGGCATCGACTACGACGACACCTATGCTCCGGCTGGCAGCTACACCACCGTCCGTGTGCTCCTCTCAATCGCAGCAGCTATGGACCTGGATTTACTGCAGCTTGATGTGAAGAATGTGTTTCTTCACGGCACCATCGACCACGAGATCTACATGCAGCAGCCGCCCTACTTCACCGACGGGAGCAGCAAGGTGTGCCTCCTGCAGAAGAGCATTTACGGGCTAAAGCAAAGTCCATTTCTATGGTACAAGGAGCTGGACAAGGTGCTCCTTGTGGAGGGGTACAAGAAGAGCCTTGTGGACCAGGCCCTACACTACAAGGATGGGGCGAGTGGGAAGCGCGTGTGGCTCTTAATCTACGTGGATGGCCTGCTAGCGGCAAGTGAAGACCAGCGGCTGCTGCATGACCTGAAGGAGCTGCTGGCCAAGGCTTTTCAGCTCCGTGAGGTGGAGCCAGTGGAGCGCTACCTGGGGCTGCATATTGTGCGCGACCGCCCCAACAGGACACTCCTCCTGCACCAGAATGCATACGTGGCGAAGGTGCAGTAGCAGTTCTTTAAGGGGGCGCCACCGAAGAAGCAGCCAATCACTCCTCTCTCCTCTGCCAGCTTTGCCAAGCAGGATGCTGGGCAGTTTGCCAACCGTACCATGACCGAGTACTTGTCAATTCTCGGCATGGTGCAGTTTGCAGCCATCTCAACCCGTCCTGACCTGTCTTTTGCGTGCAGCCACCTTGCAGCAAGTGCACACCTCAGGACGGATGCGCATTGGTATGAGCTCTTCCGCACACTCTCCTACTAGGCTGCCTCACCGGACATGGGGCTTCTGTTCAAGGGAGGACCAGAGAGCTTGACTCTCGTGGGGTATGCGGATGCGGATGATGCGGGCGACAAGGAGAACCGGTCGTCCACGGGAGGCTACCTCTTCAAGCTTGGCGGAGCTGCCGTTTCATGGCAGGCCAAGAAGCTGCAGGGTGCGACCAAACTTTCCTCCACCGAGAGCGAGCTTGTGGCTGCGGTGGAAGCAGGAAAGGAGGGGCGCAAGCTAAGGTTCCTGTTGTGGGAGTTTCAGCTGCTAAAGAAGGGTCTTCCCACCACCCTGTACGTCGACAACATGTCAGCGATGCAGCTCAGCCAGGCGGGCGGGCTGCAGGGGCGCATGAAGCATGTGGACCGTCGCCACATGTGGCTGCAGGACATGGTGCGCATGAAGAAGTTGGAGCTGCAGCACATCCCTACGACGGCGCAGCCCGCGGACTTCTTCACGAAGCGGCTCGACAAGGCAGCCTTCAACACATGCTGTGCAGCAGCCGGGCTGGTGCAGCGTGCTCCTGACAGCAAGGGGGCGTGTTAGAAGGAAATGTTGCCATGAGCAACAAAATGTCTGCGCTGGGATTCGAACTCGTGACCTTCAAATATGTCCTGAAAGTGTCTCAGGACATATTCAGGACAGTTTCTGCTAAGGCGCTGGTTATGGTGCACGCGAGTTTCGAACTGGACACCTTTCGATTCAAGTGTCCCGAAAGTGTCTTGTCAGGACAGATTGGGGACAGTTTGGGGACAGATTGGGGACAGTTTGGCGAAATCGATCTCGGGTCGCGTTCGGTTTGAATTTTGGCAGCGAAGTGTCGAAGTCAACGGAATTCGCGCGGGAGTTACAGTCGGTCGTCGACGGAATTCTGGTCGCGGAAAGTCTCGTCTACGGAATTCCAGTCAATGGAATTCGCTCGGCAAAATTCAAGGCTCTGAATTTCGCGTCGACGAAATTCAACGTGCGACCCGGGTCGACACTTTCTTCTGTGCTTTTTTTTATTTTGTATTGCGTCCTAGTATAAAACTAGAGAGCACAAACCAGAAATAAACTAAGTCATTATCATTGCTATGTTTGTGTGTATCTCTGGCTATAGTGGACAGTTTCCTGCAATCTTTGGTGCGTTGGAATCGTGCTTTCAAGCCCTATCAAGCTGCTATAGTAGTGGAACTCTACAGCCCCAACGGGAACTCTCCTCCAACCCCTTTTGCCGTGAGAACCAAGAAGTCGCTATAGACCTTGTCGAGTGGTTTGTACCGCTCGGCTCCAAGTATTTTCTCGGCAAAGGGCGTGTGACGCAGCGCTGTCAGAAGAATGAACGAGAATGATTGAACTAGAAAGGAAGCAGGTACAAGTACTAAACCTAATTGGGTTGTACCCCTTGTGGGCTACCCCACTACAGCCTACACAACATAAACATGATGATAGTTTGACACACCTCAATAGGCTAAGTGGGGGAGAACAAGAGGTCACAAGACCAGTCAAGAAACGAAAAGCAAGCTCAGGGTGGATCACAAAGTCACCACGCACTCTGAGCACAAGCAAATGGCCACAAGGCCAGTTCACATGCAGAGTTATATAAAAGAGAACAAGCAGGACAGTGATCACAACCTAGCAACTGAAAGCATGCAGGTATATATATATATGTATATATATAGATCACAGTACAGGCAAAGTCAAGCAGTGAGCAAGTGAGACGAAGCAGGCAGAAGGCCTAAAGCAGTACAGAAACGCTGATGGTCACCAGACCCAAGGGCCTTAGTGAAGACATCAGCAGTGTTGGCCCGAGTGGCCACGTAAGCAAGACGAAGCTGACCACGCTGCTGCAACTCTCGAGCAAGGAAGTAACGCAGAGCGATGTGCTTCGTTTTGTGCTCCAGTCTGTGCTCCTGACACAAGGCAATCATGGCCTTGTTGTCTACGTACAGAACTGGAGGAGAACGAGGCCGCTCTCCCAAGTCGGTCAGCAGGTAGGTGAGACAGCGTAACCCCTGTGCAGCCATGGCCCCTGCGTAGATCTCAGCCTCACAACTGGAACTGAGAACAGAAGACGAGCGGGTAGACCGCCAAGAAACAGAGCCAGAGCCAAGGCTGAAGGTGTAACCTTGTGACGACCGCTGCGTAGCCAAGTCGTCAACCCAAGAAGCGTCTGCCTGTCCAGTGAGGACAACTGAACCCTGTCCTCCAAGCACGAGCCCCATGCCCGACATACTGCACAAGTAGCGCAACACCCTCTTAGCGGCCTCCCAGTGCTCTGGTCAGTGTATCCCGGGCGCAACGTAGCGTGCCAGGATGCTAAGAGGGTAGGCAAGGTCAGGTCCAGTGCAGGTCATCAGGTACATGAGGCAGCCCAGAAGCTCTGGATACGGGCCACTTGGCTCTACGGACTCGTCCAAAGGTGGAGCTGAGAGCGAGTGACGGGTAGGCAGAGGAGTGGACTGTGGCAAGGAGAACCGGAAGCCGAAGCGCTGAAGGAC